CACGTAAAGTATTTGACAAATACTGCAAAAGAGCATAGAATTTTGATAGCTTACTGAATAGCTATGATAAATATGAAATTGATTATTTTCATACCTTCCCAGCATAAGTGTGGTGAAGGAAGCAACGTTGCATTACTACGAACCAACTGTTTTATATTATGAACTGTATGTGCATGTCCTCTCTCCCCCAATATTTCCTTCAGTCAAATTATTCTTGATAATCTTCAATTAGTTTCACCAGTTGCTGCGTAGCCAGATTCCCCCATAAAATTGTGATATGCCACCAGGCGTTACACCGATTAAGAGATCTTCCAGTTTCAAATTTCGATCTCAATATGCCGGTATTGATTAAAGTCCAAATTTCTTGATATGACTAGCAATAAAAGCAAAAAATATTACCGGTTATGGACCTTAGATTTCATGTTAAAGGTGCATCTGCCCTTAATTTAGTTGAGGTTGTGCTTTCGGTTTTCATTTACGTTTGTATAAACTCAAGAAAATGACAATTGAAAACTAAAAAGAATTGATATTAGTCAGCCAGTTAATGCGGCTTCTTATAATCTTCCAATTATATATTGTTAGATAAATTTTTGAATTGTGGTCGTACCATTTATTTCAATTTCTTTGTCCTCGATTCATCTTTCATCATCAATAATGTAATTTACATACAAAATTTAACACTCACTGACATATTATACCAAACACAGTACAATAAATTGGCACCGGAGAAAATGAAAACTGAGTGGTTAGTGTAAGGCTGTAAGCCATGAAGAGTTTGGTTGTTAGGCATCTATTTTTATCTTTTCTGAAACTTGTTACCCATCTATTGTTGCGGTAAGGAACATATCACTTTGATCGTTATCATTCTACAGTCGCTAACCGTGTTCTCTCTCCAGTAATTTTTACATCGTTATAATATGCATCAACGATAGAATCTCCAAACATTATAAGAGCCGAAATCGTTTGTTTGACTGCAGATTCAACAAAGACTGTGTGTGTCTTCATCTCAAATAACAACACCGGAAAGAGGAAAAATGGAAACTGTCGCGACGAAATAAAAGGAGAAGAAGAAAAGGGATGTGATGAAAAATACTGTGTCGTTTAGTTGTTTCTCTATGTATCGTTGTTTGAAATAGGTCTTATTGGTCTAGAAGCTATTGGAGTCTGTGTATGTTACATTGTACAGTGAAGGTGATATATAAGGAACTTTTACTCCTAATGAGTAAATATAGTAAAGATAAATATATGTAACTTAGATTAGCAGACGTCATAAAATTGTCTGTATAGTTTATAGTTTGAAGTGAAAGAATTAAAAGTGCTTTAGGCCTATGTTCATCATGCATTGCAAATTGTATCGGCTATGTGATTTGTTACGGCTAAGAGCTTCGTTCATACGTGTTTCATTTATCATTCAAAGGAAGATATCAGCATAGCAGCCGGATGTTGCGGCAAAGTTAGCTCTTCCAGAGACTGATATGGCCTCTAGTGTGATTGCATCATTGCAACTAGAGCAACGAAATCATAATATATATTTAAAAAAAAAAAGAAGAGTGAAAGTAAAAACACACAAGAAAACATCCAACAAGATAACAAAGAGATATTAAGTCATAATACTCTTTAAGTTTTTTTTTTTAGTTGGATTGAAATATACGTATAATCATATGCTTTTAGACGTACATCAGGATATCACGTTCAATAAGACGATAAACAGCAGAAAAAGAGGAAAATGATCATTCAGATTACAACTTACATGTGCAATCACAAACTAAAGTATCTTGTTGAGAACTCTTTCAAAATATTTTGCGGACATAATCTTGTACGTCTTCTCAGTGGGATGAAAACTATCCCAAAACACATAATCTTGTCTATTCGAACATACGTCAGCAGTGAAATTGTTACACAACATAGCAACTTCAATTAGTCCGGTTCCACAACACCCTCTATCAACCACCTGAAATCCTGCCACATATAATCATATGATAAACATACGGTTTTATTTTTTTGGGGTAAAAATAGATAGGTTTGAAAATATAGTAATACGATATAACCAGTAGAAAGAAAAGAGAAAAATGTTTAACCATATTGTTGAGGATCTAGAATGATATCAAGAAGAGAATCATATATATCGATGTAGATTAATGAATTGTCACGTAAGGTTCTTGACAAAGAATCCAAATTTGCAGAAAGCTTAGCGTTGTAGAGCTTTGTTGCATCATTGAACCTAGCAACACAACTTCTCGATGGTCCTCCTGCCACAGTTATCTGTGAAGGCACACAACCTAGTGGCGGTACACCGAATACTTGTATTCTTCTCGCTCCATATTCATGTAGTTTCTGTAAATACCACATCATTAAAACAAAAAGACAAAGATTAAGAGAAAGAGAAAAAAAAGTGTTACTATCAATAAGTAGCTTGCTGGATATTTTATTTTTATAAATTAGAGCTATAGTCTGTTAATTATTTTCATACTTGAGCAAAAGATTGAGCCTTGTCAGCCATAAGAGTGGTGAAGGAAGCTACGTCGTATTGGCGTTGCACAGAAGGCAGAGCAAAGTATGTATTTGCTATATCATTACTACCACATATAACAATGAACAAACTATTTTCTATTATGAACGTTGTCCTCTCTTCCCCAACCATTTCCTTCAGTTTCTCTATATACTCTTCGAACAATTTTAATTGCTGCGATAGTGATATTCCTCCCTTTTCAAAACAACAATTATCAAAAGCTTTAGAATATTAGACTTGAAAAATAAAATAAAAATATTGTAAGACTCACCGATAATTGGCTTGTGAAAGGAACGTAACCAGCACCACCAGACGCAAATGTTACACCGGTTAAGAGATCTTCCGGTTTCAAATTAGGATCTCGATATGCCGGTATACTTGGTTTAATTCCGAGTTCTTCCGCTATATAGCAAGAAACAAAAAGAGACTTATTATAACCAGTAAATGACACGTACTTACTTGAAAACTGAAACATAAAAACTGATCACATGTTAGGGAGAAATATTCAACCACTGAATTAAATGTTCTCTTGACATTAATCACCGAGTTTAATGCATCTAATATAAAATCGTGGTCGAACCATTTTTAGTTTATGAGCCTCGAAGGTCCATCATATACTTTATCATCGACAGTGCCAATTACATACAACACGTCACTAGCCAGTAACCCACTGAGTTACTATCCAGTGTGCTATACACGACACAATAAATCAAAACCGGAGAATATATATATTTTTTTTTTTTGTGCACAAACCCTTCATTGAAATTAAACCAAGTTTGGTACAAAGCCTCTGAGGGCCTGTTTAGCTAAACCATCCTCAAAACCGGAGAAAATAACTTAGATTTTTTTTTGGTTAAAGGTTTAAAACATTCATTTTATAATTTTTGTAAAAGGCTTAAAACTTAAAGCTGTGTTTATAAGAAAAAAAATCATATAAAATGAATGTTTAGTTGTTATCTATTAATTAAGGAAAATATCGAAATTTACCTATAATATCACTGGGAACTTTGCCATTGGAGAACCTCCCGGTAGGTATTCCACCGTCAAAATCGATCCCATAAGGAGGATAATTGCATCTAGCAAATGTTGTCGTAATGTCGTCGTTGTTTCCGGCATCAACTATGGAATCTCCAAACACTATTATCGCTGGAATCGTTTTGTTTGGCGGCAGTTTCACCAAAGCGTTTGTGGTTGTCTCAGATAACAACACCATAAAGAGAACACACATAAAAAGTTTCGAAGAAGAAGAAGAAGTAACGTGTCTTTTCATTGTTGCTCTATGTACCTTTGTTTGAAACAAAGCTTTTGGAATGGTTTGTATGTATAACGATTTTACCTAATATATAAAGAAACTTTACACTTCAGGGCTAATAGTCTAGACTCTAGAGTAGATTCAAGAATAAGTTACTAGATTAGCCACGTAAACTTCTTACAACTACAATAATTATGGGGATTGTGAAACTGCTATTTTCATTTCTTTTACTACCAAAAAATAAAAATAAAAAAACGTTCGATAAGAATATTTTCAGAACAAAAGAACATTTGATCAAACTACTATTCTCACCTTTATAAAATATTATTTGTTCATCTAAAATCTCATTCAACAAACACACGGCCTACCTGCACCGGTGTCCGCGGATCTGTGGCCGTGTTCTCCTAACCGAACCATCGTACTTAACTCAAATATCGAGTTCTCGAGAAAAACGTGCAGTGTGTTTTCGTGTGTGCCTAAAACAGTTTGATGGTTTATAAAAATAGGTGTCACTAAAGATTATTTTTGTCTTCAAGACACTCTAGCTTACTGATAGACTTTGATCTCTTACCAATATATCCCAACAAATTTCTAAATGAACATTGAAGTCCGAAACTTTACTTATAATTGGGCTTCAGACAAAATTTTGGTTCAATTAGTTTAATAGAATTTAAGTCCATAATTATGATTGGGCTTGTTCACCTTTCTGACTGGACTCTATTTTTTTTAACTAGCCATTATATTTGATTTTCTTTGTTGATACACCAAGTTCTTTTGGTATATATATAATCCAAATAAGTTCGAGTACCGATCAGGACTCTAAGAGCATGTTTAATGTATGTTGCTTAGAGAGTTGCTTAGGAGGAGAGGAGTGCTTAATTTGAAGAGAAAGAGTGTGAAAAGTGCTTAATTAAGCAATTCTTCTCCTCCTAAGCAACTCTCTCTCTTCACATTAAGCACTCATCTCCTCCTAAGCAACTTCTATTAAACATGCTCTAACCAGTAACAATCTGTATTGTCGGCTACTACCATTATAGAAAATGAAAAAGGACAAAATGTGCAGGAGTTATGAACCATTGTAAAGCATATAGAAAATATACAGGAAATTTTTTAAATATACATAACAAACAGTTACAAATCAAGTAATCAAGTTTGATGTATCTTTCCACTGTAATAATTCAAATAACCATAAATAGAGTGTAACGAACATGTAGGTGTTATTTATCGATTAGATGATACTGTGGAGATATTTATCAAGAAGTTTTGCAACTATAATTCTGTAAGATCTTTCAGTGGGATGAAAGCTGTCCCAAAACACATAATCAGATCTTATTGGACATACAGCCGCTGTATAGTTGTTGCATAGAGCCGTCACTTCTATTAGTCCGGTTCCACAACATCCTAAATTGCTCACCTTAAACCCTATAAATATCCATGACACATACACTTGTTTATTAATTTTGCGTAAATAATTAAATATGTTGTATGAAACTAATTGTTTATGAAAAAAAGGAAATAATGATTATTTACCATATTGTCGAGGGTTTAATATGAGATCAAGAAGAGGACTGTAGATATCGATATAGATTAAAGTCGAGTCGAGTAAGGTTCTTGATAAGACATCCATGTTTGCACTGAGCTTAGTATTGAAAAGTTTTGATGCATCATTAAACCTAACAACGCAATCTCTTGTAGGTCCTCCTGCCACAGTTCTCTGCGATGGAACACATCCTATTGGTGGTGCACCAAACATGAGTATTCTTCTTGCTCCATATCCATAGAGTGACTACGAACAAAATATTAAAATATAATTCCGAAGACAATCAATAAATCTCTAATTACAATAATACAATAATTAAGAGACGCAAGGTTAACATAAATTTTTAATAAGCTAGCAGTAAACGTTTGTATTTACCATAGCAAAAGAGCGAGCATTATCGGCCATAAGAGCAGTGAAAGAATCAACGGTGTATTGGAGACGAACCGAAGGGAGACCAAAGAAGTCGTTTGCAATATCGTTGCTACCACATATAACAACGAACATGCTATTCTTGAGTATGAACTTTGTCCTCTCTTCTCCAACCATTCCATTCAGTTTCTCTATATATTCTTCAAAATATTTCAGTTGTTGTGATAATGGTATTCCTCCCTTTAATCATTCAAAAATGTATCAATTAGTTATTAGAAAAACTTCACATGGATATTAAAACATAAGAAGTGGATATTTAGCTACCGCTATTTGTGTTGTCAAGGGAACATAACCAGCACCACCAGAGGCAAATGTTACACCGGTTAGGAGATCTTCTGGTTTTAGATTTGGATCTCGATATGCCGGTATATTTGGTTTAATCCCTAATTCTTCCGCTATAAAAACAAGAAGATTAGGAGAATATAATATAAAATACTCATTAGATTATAAGTTGCAACTTGGTGCTCTTTTCTTGTTATAGTTGCCAACAAAAAAAGAGTTGCAACTTGTGTTCTTTTCTAGTTATAGTTGCCAAAAGAGAAAATTGCAACTTGGTGTTTTAACTTTTCTTTTTTGGGTACATATCACTTTAAGAGTGTGTAATATTATTGTATGAAGTCATTAACCAGCTAGTATTATCGTATGATTATAACACGTTAATAAATGTGTCAATGAATAAAAAAACAAACCTAAAATATCAGTGGGGACTTTTCCATTGGAGAATCTTCCCGTAGGAACTCCACCGTCGAAATCAATACCATAAGGAGGATAATTACATCTAGCCTCCGTTATCATATCGTCGTTATTACCAGCATCGACAATTGAATCTCCGAACACTATTACCGCCGGAATAGTTTTGTCTTCTGGAAGTTTCACTAAAGCATTTGTGGTTGTCGTAAACAACAACACAAGAAAGAAACTACACCAAAACAGGGTCGACGAAGAAGAGAGAAAAATATAAGAAATCAAGTTATAGTGGACAGAACGATGTGGTTCCATTGTTGTTATGTAGTAGTAGTGTCTACGTGTGTGAAAAGAAATAAACAAAAAAATCTTGTTTTCTTTTGAGAAAAAAATCTTGTTTCTTTGAAAGCTTTGGAAGATGAATATAGTCATCCTCCCGCCTCCCATATATATATAAATATTTTGGCTTGGTTGCTATCATAAATTGAAGACAATGACATTTTTTTCCTCTACGTGCTACTAATATGTCTCGGTTTTTGGTTTGAAGACTACTATTTGTAATCAACAACGACACTCCCCAGCAAATGTCAAAATCCATATTGAACGTAGCCTTTCTAAAGAGACATTAAATCCGTTGTCTGATATAGTTTTTGGACCAATCGTTGGTTGATTTAATTGACATTTTTTGGTCTAATATAAATATTGACATTTATTAGTATTTACTTTGCAATCTCATGTATTTGTTTTTGCCATCTCTCTATTTCTGAAAGGAGTATTTATATTTGCATGCATACATACGTGTATATATAAAAACCTCAGAATGAATACACATAAATACATTGCTTTACATTTTATCACACTATTTTTTTAAACTTTTTTGTTTGTTTGTAAGAGCCATTTAGTCTAGAGAGAAAAAAAGAAGCAGCTAACTTTACCAGCAAGGATATCAACAGGAAAATGGAGCATGTGACAATTACAGTAAAAATTCTATAGTTTAATACTTGATAAATTAATATTCACCTTAGATTAATAATTTTTTCGATTCTGAATTAGTTGGTTCAAAATATGATACTAATCGATAAAATAATAAGATAATATATTTTTTTTAGAAAACTCTATATAAATATATAATTCCACTAAAATAAAAATCAATAATTTGTATGTATAAGACTTATATATGTACAAACAAAATGTTGTATTATTGTTTTATATTCACAAAATCTCTATTTTTCATAACAATTCAATATATTTTGATAATATTTAGTAAATTGTGTCTTTTTTTTATTAAACACAAAGTAAATTATGTCTAAAACTACATTAAAATTTTATGAAACATAGTTCAGACACATATTTCTCAAATTTAATTAACATACATCTGATAAAACCAACTATTTTTATTTTATAAAGAATCTGAAAATATAAAAATCTAAAAAAGATATAAATTAATAACTATAAATTAACAAAATTTTATAGTTTCACCCTTATTACTTAATAGATTTTTACTGTAGTTAAAAAGATTGGGAGCCATCGGAAAAGCTACGACGCAGATTTAATGGACTGACCGAACCAAAGCAGAGATAAGTGTGAAACTGTGAAAGTGGACACCCGCCAACATGGATATCAAGAGTTGCAGATGATGTGCTAAGCGAAATAAATTTTGCAAGCTTTATATTTAGAATATTAAAGTTTTAGTTATTTTTAAAAATAATTTAAAAGAAAAAGAGATCTTAAGTTTGAAATTTTACTTCAATATATACTACTAAAATTATTATTTTTAACTTGGTTTCGTTTTCGCGTTGCTCATTCCACTATTTTTAAAAAATGGTGGATAAATTTTAAATAAAGTTACTTCTGGCTTGTTTAGAGGCGCCTCTGACAAAATTATGAATCCAAGCAAAATAAAATTGTTGGTCCATCAGACATTAAATTTATGAAAATAAAACAAACAAATAATTTTTTTCCTGCAAGGTTCAAATAATGCACAATATTAAACCTTTACTGGAAAAACTATTTATCCCAACAGAGCTATTGAATGTTTACCGGGAATATTGTCCCCTAAAATTATTAAAGAGTCGAAGGTCCCAAACACATGTGTACCATTTAAAGTCTTATAAATGTACAAACTTATATGATATGCATATCTTACATGATCTATATTAGATGATTAGACACTCACTCTTACAACGTTGAATAGTTCTAAAACTATAGTCTTATCGTACATTTAAATTGCGTTTCGAATTATGAGATAACCTCACAGAATCATTAGTCATAGTACTGGGCTATTTTGTATAAATTTGGTAGAAGTTAGAACATTCTTATCATTTTGGCCATCTAGACCGATGGCTAAATATATATATATATACACGATCGATTTGAAAATAGAGTATATTTGTAAATATTATCGACGTCATGATGTGGTTCGGATCTTTTATATGATCAATGTCTTCTGGAAACAGGTGATAACATCGGTAATGAATGAGAAGACCCCACAAGACTACAATCCATTCACCGCTGGATCAGTAAATGCAAAGCAAGACTTTATATGAAATACCTGTAGTATTACAATTCTTGAGCCAAAACATGTAACGAGTTTCTATATATATCTCGCTTATCAAAATAGCTAATAGATATAAAGTTTAAAACATTTAATCAAACTGCCCCTGATAGCAACGCTACTGGTGAGGTACTTTTCTTCGTTTTTTTTCCAACAACATGCAGTTTGGTCGTCTGCATCCGAAGAACGTGTAGCTCACATTTTTGGATCACATGTTATGATTTAGTTTTGGTTAGTGCCATTTTAATAGTCCAAAACAATGACAGAAGAAACTAGTTGGTTAAGCAGTTGCATGATATTTTATTGATCTATCATATCCATGAGCCATATTAATTAATGTTTTTCATCCATATTTTTATTTTGCCTCATTTATTAAAAGACCAGTATATGTATTTGAAGAAAAAAAAATACATCTACAAAAGTTATTTTGACACATTTATTAAAAGGTATACAAAATTAAACGTCCCAACTACAAAAATTGTTTTGTCTAGTTTTCACATCATTTCCTGGTTAAATAGATTGTCTTTTAGTCGTCAATTATGCTATATAGTCATTTTTTTCTTCATAAAGATTTCATCAAGGTCAATAGCATTTTCTCGTCCAATACTTCATGTACCGATGCTAATCAATAGATGCATGCTCATGTATAACCCAAAGCCTAAATAATTTGTGAACAAATGAGACAACATTTTTCAAAACTGGTGTAATATGAGAAAAAGTAAATGGTTCCATGAGCAATACCTAGCCGTATAGTATTGTCCAGAGCGCAAACGTCGGGACTCGTGGTTTGGGTGAAGTTAGCTCTAGTCATGTATATGAATGTCTGATAACTGGCCAAAATCCCATGTACGATGATTAGATTTTTTGTTTGTTTGTTAATAACTAACATACATCATTATACAAATATGGATATATGGATTTTACAATCAAATAATATGATACTCTATATCATTTCAACGTAAGGCAATACAAGTACAACAATTAGCACTTGTCCATTTATTTTCTTCTTTTAAATAAAGTAGTTGTGCATTTAATTATCTCTATTTCTATATCAATCAGACAACTACCATAATATGCAAAACTATATGCATAAAATGCACAGAAGTTTTGGTTTCAGCTGCTGGATTGTTGTTTTGCACAAAGTAGTTGTGCATTTATTTAAATAAAGTAGTTTTGCATATAGTATATGGTTTACAATGCTAAATCTCTCAAGCCCAAGGAACACAGAAGTTTTGGTTTCAGCTGATGGATCATCATGTAAAGCCCACGTTAATAAGAAAACAAGGCATTAGACAATCTCATAAAACCCAGCCGCGTAATAGAATTGATTCGGCCCATTAAAAACGCAACTTTAAAGCCTAATAGTTAACTTTAAGCCCATTAGTCGACATTGCAATTTACTTATACACCCCTGTATGATTAGGGTTTTGAGTCTCTAACGTAAAATTACGAAAAAGCCCACCAAGTGGACCGACTTTGTCCGAGTCGGCGGATCTGAGGATCTCTCACACGTCTTTAAATACAGAACTCGCTACCTTTGCCTCATCTCCACATCGAGTTAGCCTTCTTCTGTCGCGAGATCTTAGTTTTGGGTGGTTAGATCTGAAAGCTTTAGAATCGACTTACATCCTCCGTCTCTCCTTGACCTCTTATTACCCCGAATCCCACCTTACCCCCCTTGAAAAACATGCCATCGATTGTGATTGCAAGGAACCATGCGAGCGGTCAGAACTTGGTCGATTCGACTAAGGTTCGTCCAGCCACAGATTTTTTGGGTTTCTTGCTTCAATTTTTTTTTTTAAATTAAAATTGAGATCTAGGGTTCTTTGATTTAGCTAGGTTTGCATGAATCTTGTTACTGTGTTATAGATAATCTCTAAGGTTTTTTATACTTTCAAACATAGTTTCTAAGAATAGCATATCGTCAGGAACGCTAGATTTATTATAATCTATTCAATTTGTCATCGTGGTTTTCTCGTTTTCGTGAATCTTCTTGGTGTTTAGATTTAAACTTTGCTTATAAATCTCATGCGTATTTTTATGCATATAAACCATATTCTATATACATATATATGTATGTTTTTATCAAATTAGCTATAACCCATTCAACTATATTGAATCAGCTATTACGCAAGGAACAGGTAAGATTCATTGTTTGTTTTTCTTTCCACTAGTGTGAGATGTCTAGGTATGTTAAGTTGTTTTGTTGTGGGGGGGTCTTTGGTCTTGTGCGTGTTTTATCACACTGAGTGTGATGGTATTTATTGATCCCGTAAGACCTCTAGCCTAAAACCCTTTACTCTAATGAATTAAAGCTCGAAAGAATCGTAATTGATTCCAAAACGGCGAGCCTGAAGAAGGATAAGAAGGAAAGAAAACACAGGAAGGAAAAGCGTGAGAAGTCTCACAAACATTCATCCAAGAAAGCCGATGATGTGCTTAAAAAACAGTTGTGTCCCTCTAGTAAATCCCCAGTCTTGTCCGAGAAGTCTGATGTGACAGAGGAGCTCGAGGGGCCTCAAAACCACCTCGGTTATTTGTCTGATGGAAGTCAGAATAGTAAGAAGAGGAAACGAGATGTCTCTCCTCCTGCTGTTGAGAGTCTCATTAAAGGTTTGAATCAGTTTTACTTAATTTATAGTAGTAACATGTCGATTTGTTTTGTTACTAGACTGACTGACATGTGCATTTGAACTTGTGTTTGCAGCTGCACCTGTAGCAGATAAACCTCTACGTATTCGTTTGATCTTCAAAAAACCAAAAGTCGAAAGTCCTCCTCTACCCCGAGAGGATGTTGTTTCCTGCTCCACTCACAGAGCCAAGACACCACAAGCTGTCATATGTTCAAAAGTATGTGAGCCTGAGCTGAATGTTCCGTCAACATCTGGTTCTGCATTAGTTGAGTCAAAGAAGATATGTGAGCCTGAATTGAATGTTCCGTCAACATCTTCAGCTGCAATAGCTGGAACAATGAAGAGAAAGAAACACAAGCCGAGCAAAGAAGATCGATACAATGCATTGTTTGATGACTGGACTCCACTTACCTTCACTGCCATGGAGGTTGATACTTCCTCTAAGAATGACGATGAAGACTGGTTATTCGGGAGCAAGACGAAAGAGAGAACAAACTGCAAAGCAGCAGTCAAGATTGATGAAGACGTGAGCACATCTAGTGATTCGTCATGGCCTAAAGCTCAGTTTTTGCCTCAAGTCGGGATCTATTCTTTACCTTACACTGTCCCATTCTAATGTTTGTTAGTCTAGTCTTACTCTTGTACAGTAACTGATTGTAACAACAGTTTCTCTAATCTAACCCAATTTTGATACACGGTTCACTTCTTCATCATTGTCTATGCGTTTTACTTTCATCAAGAGTAACAAAAATTTAATATTCAAAATTGATGAATCTAGATAATATTAGAAGAAATTAATTTTAATAACGATGACATAATTTGGTAAAACCTATAGAATAATCATTTGCACATTACATTAATCCTGCACATAGTCCACCTAATTGAGATTTTTTGTTTAAAGTAAAAGAAAACTTTGACAAAAAATAAAAGTAAGAAAACAAATTCAAAACGTAACTAAAATCGAAAAAAAAAGAAAATAATCTCGAGTCTATTATTCGTGCGGTCAACTGCTGACAGAGGGAGGAAGAAGGAGAGATGAGGAGGCTCGCCGGAGTAGAAGACGAGGAGAAGTGGCTGGCGGAAGGAATCGCCGGAATCCAACACAACGCTTTCTTCATGCATCGCGCCTTGGTTCTATCCCTTTCTCCATTAATTTTTTTTTTAATTATTTCGCTTCTGATCTGATGAGTTTAATCTCTCTTAGGACGCGAATAATCTGAGAGAAGTCCTCAAGTACTCCGCTCTCATGCTCTCTGAGCTCCGCACATCCAAGCTATCTCCTCAGAAATACTACGATCTCTGTTAGATTCCATCGACTTTTGAATCTCTCTCGATTTGCCTGCTTCTTTGACCGTTTCTTAATTGATTGTTTTTTAGATATGCGAGCTTTCGACCAATTGAGGCAGCTCGAGGTTTTCTTCAAGGATGAGAGTAGGCATGGCTTACCTGTGGTTGATTTATATGAGCTTGTCCAACATGCCGGCAACATATTGCCTAGGATGTAAGCAGATGATCATAGATTTTGATTCATCGTTGACCTAGTTTATCTTGATTCGATTAGGATCTGATTAGATTGGATTACAGTTATTAGATTAGATTAGAAAAATGGAGATGATTTTGTGTTGTTGCTGAGTTGTTTTCTGTATTGATGTTGGTATTTTAGGTATCTGCTATGTACAGTAGGGTCTGTTTATATCAAAAGCAAACAAGCTCCTTCTAAGGATGTTCTTAAGGATCTTGTGGAGATGTGTCGAGGTGTTCAACATCCCATTCGTGGACTCTTTTTAAGGAGTTATCTTGCACAAGTGAGTAGGGATAAGTTACCTGAGATTGGCTCAGAATACGAAGGGTGGGTTTAACTATGCTTTTTCAGTCTTTTTTGAGTATTTGGGGGTGTTTAGTCGTTTTTTTTTACTTTCATTGCGGCTATCCTGCAGAGATGCAAATACTGTGATGGATGCTGTGGAGTTTGTGCTGCAAAATTTCACTGAGATGAATAAGCTCTGGGTTCGAATTCAGCATCAGGTGAATTTTTTGATCTGTGGGGGAGTTGATGGTAATTATAGATACGCATAGCACCTCTGCACTTGCATGCCTCTGACTAAAGCATAAATGAACTATGAAGAGCATGCTTTTGGTCATGCAGGTTGTGTGGTGCTTGTGAATCATTGATATTGGTCTACCTGAGCTGAGGTGTTCCTTGGACTGCAGGGACCTGGAACTGTTCGAGAAAAGCAGGAGAAAGAGAGGAACGAACTCCGTGATCTTGTACCATCAATACCACTTCTGGACTGAATACATATTTTGCCATTTCACTGGCCAATAAGTTGTATGTAATGTTTGTCTCTCAGGTTGGCAAAAATCTGCACGTTTTAGGACAGATTGAAGGTGTTGACCTTGAGATGTACAAAGAGACTGTTCTTCCTAGGGTCTTAGAGCAGGTTCAGCAGCTCATTTTTGCATATATATTATATCACCAGTTTCTTTTTCTTAGATACTTCAGTTGCTGGATAAACTGTTAAATCTGGAAACCTTGAACAGGTCGTCAACTGTAAAGATGAACTGGCTCAGTATTATCTGATGGAGTGCATAATCCAAGTCTTTCCTGATGAGTACCATTTGCAGACTCTTGAGACATTATTGGCTGCTTGTACCCAATTGATGGTGGGTACTCTGACAATCTATATTTTTCTCTTTCCTAATCTCCAATGCAATTGTATTAATCTAAAATGGTCGGTCGAGTGCTTTCTGATTAAGTGTCCTCATGCTGGCATTGTTTCTTGGAGGGGCCTATATGAGCTGTCTGTATTGTCTTGCCATTCACTAATCGTGTTGTTTGCTAGTTTTTGGGGGTAGATTTTTTTTACTTATTTTTGGTTACTAAGGCTTTCGTTTACCAGTTGGAAGTTTTTGAAGGAGGTACTTGATATCATGAAATTTGACTGAAATTGAAAAACTAAGAGTAGATAATTCTTGACAGACAGCATTTTATTTTGTTTTAATGCTCTCTGACCTTAAGAAATACCTTCTCAGCCAACAGTCGACACCAAGATAGTGTTAACTCAACTGATGGACCGGTTGTCAAATTATGCTGCCTCAAGTCCAGATGTAAGTGTTTATTGAGCTATCTTCGTGCCTTTTGATTTTTGTTCTATGTTACTGAGATGTCTCTCCTATTCATTACATCTGGGCAGGTGTTACACGAATTTTTGCAAGTGGAAGCTTTTGCTAAATTGAGCAATGCAATCGGAAAGGTTGGCTCCATTGAATGAATAATCTATTATGAATGATTTTTTTCTTTTCTCTGTTGGATATTCTTGAACCATAACGGCCGTACAATAGTACTATGTAAGTCCCCAGTACCATGAGAAGTAGCCAGCTTGATTGTAGTGTGATATAATAGCGTTGGTTATCTTCTCTTAAACAACTCTTTTGTTAGGCATCGTCAAATCAATGACATCTATGACATGTGATGGACAACAGTGCCACGATAGTCTGTAAATGTCTGTCCCGAGTAGTTAGATTTGATAGTTCAGTAGTTAGAAGAGGAGAGCATCTAATCTTACGTAGAACGTTAAATAAAAACCTACATCATTCAAGCTATGAAATTGCTAGATAATGACACTCGTTTAATTTGATCTCAGACCCTTTTCCCCCCGTCTAGACCCAACTGCCTCGTTTTATATCTTAAGTTCTGCAGGTCAATGTAATTGTTGCTTCGAGTCTTAGGTTCTTCCAGCCGTCTGCAGATGATGCTGTAATTTTCTTGAATACTTTTATATGACGTATGGACTTGGCATGGCTACAGGTAATAGATACACAGATTGAGATGCCTATTGTTGGAGCTATGACGCTGTTTGTCTCTCTTCTGACTTTTACACTCCGAGTTCACCCAGATCGGCTTGACTATGTGGATCAAATATTGGTATGGATTCCTTCCCTGGCTATCTTTTCTAAACTTGTGGCTTAGTTAATATTTGTGAATGGTGTATAATGCATTGTTTAGGTTTATGATTAGTTGAATCTGGTGTAGCCATGGTGTTAAACTTTCGCAAAATTTGTAGGGCGCATGTGTAGTTAAACTTTCCAGTGTGCCCAAGCTGGAGGACTCCCGTGCAATGAAACAAGTGGTTGCGCTTCTGAGTGCTCCTTTAGAAAAATACAATGACATAGTTACAGCTCTTACACTGTCTAATTATCCACGTGTCATGGATCATCTTGATGATGGAACGAATAAAGTAATGGCGATGCTTATTATTCAAAGTATAATGAAAAATGATTCGTGTATTTCAACTGCTGATAAGGTATGCTTACCACTTTCCTCAATTAGAGACACACACACACATATGTAGATGTTATCTACTGTATTAACACGCCAATTTGTGTCCACTAGGTTGAGGTGCTGTTTGAATTGATAAAAGGACTTATTAAGGATTTGGATGGAACCGATACAGAGGAGGTGCGGTCACTTTTCTTGGTTTCTCTCTCGTGGGTTGCAATGAGTATCTCTCATCATTTTTAATTAGTGTCTTTGTCCTCATGGGTTTCTTGGGTATGTGTTTAGCTTGATGAGGAGGATTTCCAGGAGGAACAAAATTCAGTTGCCAGACTGATACATATGCTTGATAATGAAGAACCCGAGGAGATGCTAAAGGTGAAATATTATGCTTACACTAAACTTTCGGTTCAGTAGTTATATGCATTATGTTTCCGGACCTACTGTCATCCACATGATTTTAGTAAATCTCTATAGAGCTGTTACAGTGACTTGTTCATTTTAACCTGGACATGGTTTTAATTCCTCGAAACTGTGCTTCTGAGTCTGTTTCTCCACTCCCCTGAGGCTACCTGCATTCCGAAATTGACCTGCAGGTCGGCTTCAGGCCCATTGGCGTTCTTTAACAGAAGTCATATATATAAGCATTGGGCTATGAGACCATGGTTTTCTTACATCTTATCTTATGAGTAAGCACGTTGTTTACCTAGTTGCTTTACTGATATGCAGATTATATGTGTTGTGAGAAAGCATCTTATGACAGGAGGAACTCGACGCCTACCTTTTACCGTTCCACCACTAGTTTTTTCTGCACTCAGGGTATATCTCTTGTTTTCCTATAACGTGTGCTTGCATGTGTGTGTGTGTCCAGTTTCCTATATGTACCCTTGCACAACAAACCCACCAAATCAAGGCACACATTGCTTCTGAGATTTGTTGTACAATGCTATAGATGCTCTGCATGATTTAGTATTTGTACTCTTATCATTGTTTCTTTCTGGCATTCTTTTTGTCAGTGAAAAGCAAGTTTTATGTAATTACAGTATAATGCACTTTTTAACATATGCACATAGATATGCGGCATGCTTTCTCGTGTGATAATATTGCAAGATTACTCCACTGAGATTAGATTCTCTGCTTTTAGAAATATGCTTACTTGAAGATTGTCTATAATGTTTTCGGCACAGTTGGTCAGGCAGCTAGAATCCCAGGATAGAGATGTAACTGGAGAAGATGTCCAAGCATCCCCGAGGAAGATTTTTCAGATTCTCAACCAGGTTCAGTGAGCTTTTTTTTTCTTTTTCTCATACTTCTAAGCCCAGCTTCTAAGATAGAGAAACAACTGTACTTCACTGAGATTGGATTCCAGAAAAATTAGACATTTATTCTTGTGAATCGTTTATCTCCTTGATGAATTCAGATCATTGTTTGATAATCAATGCAGGAGTACTTTCCCTATGTGATTGACTAAAAACACTGTACTGTGTATTTAACGTATTATATTATTCGATTGTCCACCAAAACTTATACACAATCAGGCTGTTTGTGTTAGTTTTAATTTTTCTCTAGGAGCTGAAATATGCGAAAGTTGTTAATAACACATTGAACATGTGCTTTTTGTTTCAGACAATCGAGGTTCTTTCCTCAGTTCCATGTCCTGAACTCGCTCTAAGGCTCTACCTCCAGTGCGCTGAGGTAATCTATGGGGTCATCAACAAATTGCGAATTTGCCTGTAGGCTCAACATAGCATTTTCAATATTTTGTCACGTTTTGAATTGATGATCAGGCCGCAAGTGATTGTGATCTTGAGCCTGTTGCCTATGAGTTTTTCACCCAAGCATTCATACTATATGAGGAAGAGATCGCGGTAACGTATTTTACTTTCTGTGTGAAATTTACACAACTAAAAGCTCTCTTCCTCAACTTTTATATATTTTCCTTGTATTGTGTGTGTTGCATCATTATACTATAGGACTCCAAGGCACAAGTCACTGCAATTCATCTGATCAGTGGAACCTTACAAAGGATCAATGTCTTTGGTGTTGAAAATAGAGATACCTTGACACATAAAGCAACAGGGGTACAATTGTTCTGTCAATGTTTTTCTCAGCGTATAAGCTTTATTCTCAACTTCTAAACAAACGCTTAATTTTGTGTGTTTTCCTTGTGACCAGTACTCAGCAAGGCTTTTAAAGAAGCCCGATCAATGTCGAGCGGTTTATGCTTGCTCTCATCTCTTCTGGGTCGATGATCTAGATGGCATCAAAGATGGAGAAAGGTATCTCCTCTTTCATTACTCTCACACTTCTATTTTTTCTCTATTTACATAAAACCATGAGTAAGTCAGTGATCTTCTTTGTTCTGCAGAGTCCTTCTCTGCTTAAGACGTGCACTGAGGATAGCAAACGCAGCTCAACAAATGGCTAATGCAACCCGAGGTAGCAGCGGACCAGTCACGCTGTTTGTCGAAATCTTGAACAAGTAAAATATCATCTTAACATTTAGTTCATACACAGAATTATATCTCAATATTTATAAATGGTTTTTATTTTTTGCAGGTACTTATATTTTTATGAGAAAGGGAATCCACATATAACTCCATCTGATATACAGAGTCTCATAGAGTTAATCAACACGGAGATGCAGAGCGACGACAACAACAACGGTAACACGAGAAACCACTCAGATCCCTTCTTTACAAGTACATTGCGTTACATAAGGTTCCAGAAACAGAAAGGTGGGTTGATGGGTGACAAATATGACCTCATCAAGTTGTGACTTGTATCCACTACACAGTCCTGAATCGAATCCGTGAAAGCTTAAACTCATTTGGATTTGAATTTGTTTCTTTTTTGGGGAAATTCAGAAATGGTGTAAACACATGTTTGGTTTCTTTTCGGGTCCATGACAAAATTGGAGTAACCTTTTGTAATTTTAATCCTCTTTGTGACTAATATACTCTTCCTATGTGTATAGAATTCTCGTTTCTGAAAACCATTCTTTGAATCTATGCCTCAATTGTTTCTATTATATGCAGAATCCAAGACAATACATTTTGTTTTTCTGAAATTTTGTCACTTATACATAGTAGACGCCATCACATAATCACACATCTATTATTCCTAATTACACGAGTTACGTGGTTGACATGGTTACATATAAGTTAACGAGTGTTGTGCTATTAACATCTTTCTTATAGCCTACACTTTTAAAAGAGAAGAATTACGATGATAAAATTAATTAAACTCGTCTTTTAAAAGTACAAAACGGTTTCCAACAGCATTTAAAAATAATGTATTAAGAGATTAGTCTACATGAAAAAGTACAACAACACACAAAGAACTAATCACATTCTCCAACTCAAAATCATCTTGGCCTCACTTCAAATGACCATCAAGGCTGCATAGAGCCTTTTTTTTGTTCTCTTCAGCTTCATTTCTTACCTATAAATCTTTTTTTATAAGATGAAGTTACAATACAACACAAAGACTCTTGTTCAGTTTCTTCTTCTTTTGATTCGGTGGCTGAAGCACCATTTTTATAGCTGCGTCAAAGACTGCTTTAACGTTCTGCATAAACATTCTCAGTCTGTTAATACATACAAAACCCCACATAACAAAAAAACATCTAAGATCAAGTTTCTTATGAGTGTACCTGCTGAGTCTTTGAACTACACTCAATGTAAACCGGAGATCCTATCAGTTTCTTTAGTTCTTCTCCCTGCAGATATTGACAATTAAAACACATCTCATTCTCACCTGGTTCTGTTGAAAGAATTCTGGATTGTGGAAGTTACCTACCTGGTTTGTAGTAATAGGCACTGCACCAGGATGGTCTATGAAGAACTGCTTGTCATCTCGAAGATCTGAAAATTCTATAATATAAGTTTTTGCTCTTGTTATCATGAGAAGAGTTTTACGAAAGAAGAGAGTTAGATACCGAGTTTTGTTCCAACGAGGATAATAGGAACTCCAGGTGCATAATGCCTGAGCTCAGGAATCCACTGATATACAAACAAAAAGAGCAAGTTAATATTTATCAAACAAAGAATGAATGTTAGAAGAAGAAGAAAGCAAACCTTCTTGGCTATGTTCTCGTAGCTAGCTTTGCTTATAAGAGAGAAAGCAAGAATGAAGACATCTGCACCACGGTAACTCAATGGTCTTAACCTGTTATAGTCTTCTTGACCTGCACCAAACCCCAACAAGACCTTAGTCAAAAACTAGAAACAAGATTTGATAAGTTTCAAAATGGGATGATATTTTTACCGGCTGTATCCCACAATCCAAGATTCACAGTGTTCCCATCTACAACCACATTAGCACTGAAGTTGTCGAAAACAGTTGGAACATAGTCCTGATAAAGTCAATAACAACAAGTCAGGAGATTTGACTTTTTTTTTAAAAAACACCCTTTATCTATTATCTAAACTAGTTCTCAAAACAAGTTAACACGGATCATCAAATACAAGAGTATATGTACGAACATTAAAAGGATAAACCTTTACATGTTCTGGATAATAAAAACACATCTTCTTAAAATTTAACAGCTATACCACTAAAGGTACTAAAGAAACAAGAACAATTACATTCAAGAACATTGTCAAAGAAGCTTCAAGAACACTATTGAGAGCAAAAAAGAAAGCAAAGGAGGAGACTTTTAGCAATGAATAGTTACCGTAGGGAAAGTGTTGCTTGTGTAAGAAATCAGCATACATGTTTTTCCGACCGCACCATCGCCGACTGTAACACACTTTATGAACCTTGAAGCGCTCATCTCCGCCGCAAAATTCAAAAAAGAAACAAAAACAAATGAAAGTTTGTTTTTTCTTCTTCTTCCTCAAATCTCAGCCATTGCCAAGAATCAAGATACAATCTTTCCCCTAACTCTATTTACAATCCCGAGTGATCAATAGACGTTTCAATGAGAGATTGATTGAAACAAGAATGAGAAAATGTTTTTATTTATTTTCCCTTTCTATTTTGTAATATTTTTTCTTTGTTTTAAGACAGCTAAATGGTACTACACCAAACAACACCTTATCATATACACTCACCCCACTTTAATTTTCTAAAATATTACTATTATTTTAAAATTTCGAATTTGAATGACAAATCATCCGTTGTATTTTACATTATGAAATTAATATAATGTTCAAGATAGCCAACTACCACCATAGCAACAACCTGACACACTAATTTTCTTTGTTTAAAAATGGATATTCTATCCAATGACCATGTATAGTCTAAAAGATAAATTACAAAAGCAAAAAGACAGGAAATAAATTAATATCTTGATTAATAACTAAAGAGATAAAGCATTAGCGACCAAAGTATAGGGGGGAGGCAGGATTGAGATATTAATCATTTGATTGGAACAATTCTCGTCAAGAACGTGCGACTTAGTGTTACAGCACCATTTCAACCTTCTAAAATATAAAACCTCTTTTAAATTATATTATATAGTTTTATCTCCATGAATACTTTGTTATTATAATGTTGAAAGATTTCTTCATTTTTACGACATATATAATAGATGAAAAAATCCTTCAAGAACGTGCGTGCTCAACTCTTATTCAACTTACCCGCCAATGAACCTAATCATACGGTCGCATTATTGCATTTTCTTTATATAATAGGCAATCATATAAAATTAACTAAGGTGTTAGAGTTGGCTCTACGCTTCTACCTATTCTTCACCAACAACACTTTTTCACGTTCATTTACCTGAAATATATTCCAGAATTTTGGGATTTTTATTTTCAACTTAACATGAATAAATCATGAGTTTGAATGCTTGTGACACCACATGTTTTGAAAATATGTACGTAGTAAAATAAATCTTTCATGAGTGAGTCCTCATAGAAGAGCCCCCACTTACAGCTAATTACAACACACACTATGAAGTGAATACGTGTATGCTTGCTTCAATGGCATATATATACTTTTTATAGGTCATTTATGATTTTCAATATTTTCCCATATGGTTAAAGAAATATGTAAATGTCTAATCTATATCCTGCTACGAATGCTTGCAAAATGTTCTACGCAATTAGAAGATTAATAGGTGTAGACCAAAGTTTGTTGGTTTCTTATTCATTTAGCATTTGCAGAAAGGAGAGTGTTAAAGTTTTGACAATTGCAAACAGTTTGCGTGACAGATGGCCCATAATTGTGTCCAACAAACAGGTAGTACTAAAACTTAAAACCATGGTGGAAACATTGGGCCATATATGATATATGTAATTAACAGTAGAGGTTTTTCCATTCGGGGAAGAGTTATTTGACACGTTCAACAAATTATTTGAATTTCTTTATCTTATATCCGTATCTTTCTCCATATAAACTAAAAATTTTGTTTATATATAAACTTAAGTGTACAACTCTGTCTTATACAACATAACAATCTAAGCATAAACATTTTATCAGTCACATAAGTTGACACATTTTTGCGGAAATATGCATATTCAGTCTATGATATTCTCACGGTACACAAAACTATATTATAACCAAACCAACTTAAACATATCTGGTACATGTCACAGAATCAACTTATAGATAGTGACAGAGTCTTTATTTTATGTAAAATACACACAATACCCAACCTACCAAAGAGTTTATGGATAGATTAACAAGGGAAGTAGCATATACACTTGTTAATCGGGAAGGCAATGTTGCAAGATCCATGTCGTGCTTTCTCGAAGTTAATGCACTGAGTCTTGCACGCTCTACTGTCTCGACAATTTCCTGATGACCATGTCCGACTTGGCTTATCACACAGCTTCTGCTTCTGTGCTTCCACCATTGTTGGTGCTTCTGTATATACATATATCTCACAAGGTTAATTATCATAATCTATGAAAAAGGAAAAATTAAAATTCCTTTGCATGTGATAACTAGGTTATTACTCACCAAAAGCAACAAAAAGAACAAGAGCAGCGAGAAGAAGGGCGATGTTGGAAGTAAACTTAGCCATGGTTACTACTAATACTTGATTTTCGATGTATATATGTGTGTGAAGTGTGAAGTGTGAAGAAATCAGCTTAATAGCAACCTCTATTTATAGTAGAGAAAAATGATGAGTTGGTTTTTCACTAATTAATCGTGAATATCATGTCTTACGATTAGTGTTTAACCCCACAAATTAAACAAACACCGTCTTCTAGTATACAATGCTAACACGCAAGTAGTTCAGGATAGAAGATAAGATGTTGACCAGTAGACAAACAGCACATTGATCAGTGTGTGCAGGTTTTACTGCTAAATTGTTCATTTGCAATTCGGTTCGGTGGCTAAAATTGACTGTTCACATAGCNAACAAACACCGTCTTCTAGTATACAATGCTAACACGCAAGTAGTTCAGGATAGAAGATAAGATGTTGACCAGTAGACAAACAGCACATTGATCAGTGTGTGCAGGTTTTACTGCTAAATTGTTCATTTGCAATTCGGTTCGGTGGCTAAAATTGACTGTTCACATAGCATTTAGCATGGTTATACAAGTGGCAGTTATTTGTGACGACCACATAGCATTTAATTTGAACTTGGATATTTCTTGTTGTTGATGTTTCAATCACTAAACTAAATTTCAAAGGTATAGTTAACAGAATTAATATAGCTGGAGGGTGCCGACTAACAAATTTCAATATTTTGCGTTAATTAGTCCGAATTGGAATATTTTGTTTCTTGCACAGTATTTTTTTTAATGAAATCTCACTTGTATGAAAGTTATATAAATTTTTGTAGGTTCCACTTTTCACCCTCAAAATAAATTTTGGTTAAGTTCGGACCAACGAGAAGAGAAATCTGACTCTAAAAGGAAAATATTCAAAATAAGGGTGAATTGGCTGAAAATACAAGAAGAATGTAGTAATTAAGAAAATGTCTAAAATTATAGGGAAATAATGAAGATGGAGGGAAAAAAATTGGGGGGAAATTGGGTATGAAGTGCAAATATAGTAAATGTTATAGGTATGGAGTACAAATATTCAAAATAATTGGATAATAATAGCTATATACCAACAGCTAGTTGCAGAACTAAGAGTCCCAGCACGAGTATGACCGGCCCTGGAGCATACCTAGTGAAACATTCGTCTCAAATATTTAAAAATTTTAAAGAAAATTATATGAGTATAACTTCTTAAAAATTCTATTTAAGTCTTCAAACAAATTTTTACATAGAAATCATCATATGCCTCTAAAATCTCAGTACCACCTTGAGCGCGAGACATAAAGTTCATTGTAGTTAAATTAAGAATGACCTGATCAACCGATTTTGTGAAGCTTCTACCTACGACCGCAGGTTATCTGCCACAAATAAAAACATTCATATGGATTTAGTTTAAGAACATAATTAATTTGAATTCTTAGTTTAGAGTTTTTAATTTATGATTTAATTTTTTTAATATATTTTTAGCTAAAAATCAATTTTTATATCTCTTATGCATGAGACAATTTTTAGTTTTAAAAACAAAAAAACGGTTCTTAGTCGAAGCTAAGAATCTCATCCTAAGAATCCGGATTAATTATGGTCTATAAACCTCAGTTCCCTTGATGTTTTTAACCAAAAGGTAATTGGAAGTCTTTAGATACACGAGAATGACCTGAGACTTGATGATAGGAGTTTTTAGATTCCTAATCAAATGTTATAGTATAAAAGATGTCAAACTAGTTCTAAGTAATCATAAACCAAAGGAATTACAAGACAAAGTTTAATATAAGTGCTATCAATGTTGAGAAGGTTTTTAAAGTAAGAGACTACTAAATAAGCAATAAAGATCAAAGCTTTCTTTCAAAATGAGAAGATAGAACTCATGAGATAAAGGAATTGATCTTGGGTAATTAAGAGTTTATGTAAAATACACGCAATACCCAACCTACCAAAGAGTTTAAGTATAGATTAACAAGGGAAGTAGCATAGACACTTGTTAACCGGGAAAGCAACGTGGCAAAATCCATGTCGTGCTTTCTCAAAGTTAATGCACTGATTCTTGCACGCTCTACTGTCTCGACAATTTCCTGATGACCATGTCCGACTTGGCTTTTCGCACAGCTTCTGTGCTTCCATCATTGTTGGTGCTTCTGTATATACATATATCTCACAAGGTTAATTATCATAAACTATGAAAAAGGAAAAATTAAAATTCCCTTGCATGTGATAATTAGGTTATTACTCACCAAAGGCAACAAAAAGAACAAGAGCAGCGAGAAGGAGGGCGATGTTGGAAGCAAACTTAGCCATGGTTACTACTAATACTTGATTTTCGATGTATATATGTGTGTGAAGTGTGAAGAATGAGCTTAATAGCAACCTCTATTTATAGTAGAGAAAAATGGTTTTCACTAATCAATCGTGTATATCATATCTTACGATTAGTGTTTAACCCCACAAATTAAACAAACACCGTCTTCTAGTATACAATGCTAACACGCAAGTAGTTCAGGATAGAAGATAAGATGTTGACCAGTAGACAAACAGCACATTGATCAGTGTGTGCAGGTTTTACTGCTAAATTGTTCATTTGCAATTCGGTTCGGTGGCTAAAATTGACTGTTCACATAGCNAACAAACACCGTCTTCTAGTATACAATGCTAACACGCAAGTAGTTCAGGATAGAAGATAAGATGTTGACCAGTAGACAAACAGCACATTGATCAGTGTGTGCAGGTTTTACTGCTAAATTGTTCATTTGCAATTCGGTTCGGTGGCTAAAATTGACTGTTCACATAGCATTTAGCATGGTTATACAAGTGGCAGTTATTGTGACGACCACATAGCATTTAATTTGAACTTGGATATTTCATCTTATTGATGTTTCAATCATTAAACTAAATTTCAAAGGTATAGTTAATAGAATTAATATAGGTGGAGGGTGCCGACTAACAAATTTCAATATTTTGCGTTGATTAGTCCGAATTATAATATTTTGTTTCTTGCACAGTATTTTTTAATGAAATCTCACTCGTATGAAAGTTATATAAACTTTTGTAGGTTCCACTTTTCACCCTCAAAATAAATTTTGGTTAAGTTCCGACCAACGAGAAGAGAAATCTGATTCTAAAAGGAAAATATGAAAAAGAATTGGATAATAAAAAGCCATATACCAACAGCTAGTTGCCATACTAAAAGAATCATTATCCCAGCAACCCAAAAAATGGATTGCTTAAACTTTTTATTTTTTTTATAAATATCTTTTTTAGAAAAAAAATCAATCGCGGATCGTCACGTATCAGTAGAATCCGCAAACAGTGTAAATAATACCTCAAATCAATTGTTTATTTTAGCACAATAAAAGATGATTGCTTGTATTTTTTATGGAACCCACACATAAAAATAGCTAAACAATCCATAAAAAACATGAAATAATGATGCTCTAAGAACCCCAGCACGAGACACAAGAGGTTCATTGTAATTAAATTAAGAATGAACCGAATCGATTTTGTGAAGCTTCTACCTACGACCTCAGGTTATCTGCCACAAATAAAAACATTCACATGGATTCGGTTTAAATGCATGATTAACCCAAATTCTTAGTTTGAAGTTTTTAATTCATGATTTGACACTTTTTATTTATGTTTTTTATGTTTTTTTTTTAAATACTGGTTCTTATATCTCTTATTCATAAGACTGTTTTTAATTTTAAAAACCAAAAAACGATTTTTAATCGATGCTAAGAATCTCATCTTAAAAATCTGAATTAATCATAGTCTAAAAACCTAAGTTCCCTTGATGTTTTTAACCAAAAGGTAATTGGAAGCCTTTAGATACACGAGAATGACCTGAGACACTGTATAAAGTGATAGTAAAAACACCTAACCGCACTTCCACTCAACGTGAACATGAAAGAGAGAAAAAAATCGAATGCTAAAAACACAAACAGGTTAATTAGTACTGATTACTGAAGCTTACAACCATGGTCAAGACACTGGGCAATATGTAATAACAGAGGTTTCTCCATTTGGGAACGAGTTAATTATTTGATACGTTCAAAACATGATTTAAGTTTCTCTATCTTATATCCGTATATATCAGACTATCCATTTAAAGTGAAAGTTCTTGATTATTTTAAACCTAATTGCATAATTTTTTTGTTTCTTTAAAGGCAATTTTGTACATATCTTTGCATAAACGATTTATGACAGATTGTAAAAAAGGAAATAAAAATTATCTTTGGATACAATTTAACAGAAAACTTTTTGGCGGAAATATGCATTCAGTCTATGCTATTTTATGGTACGGTAAACTTTCTTATTATAACCCACCCAACATAAACATATCTGGTACATGTCATAAAGTCACTCATTGATAGTGACACATACTTATTTTATTTAAGATACACACAATTAACCAAAGAGTTTGTGGACAAATTAACATGGGAAGTAGCAGATGCACTTGTGAGCTGGGAAGACATAGTTGCACGATCCATGTCGTGCTTTCTCAAGGTTAATGCACTGATTCTTGCATGCGTTATTGTTTCCACAGACTCCTGACCACGTCCCACTTGGCCTCTGGCACAACTTTTGTGCTTCCACCACTGCCGGTTTTTCTGTATAGACATACATCTCACAACGTTAATGATCATATAATAGGAAACTATTCCAATTACATGCATATGATAGTTAGGTCATTACTCACCGAAAGCAGCAAAAAGAACAAGAGCAACGAAAAGAAGGGAAACGATGGAAGCAAACTTAGCCATGATCACTATTTATACTTAGTTTTCAATGTATATGTGTGTGGAGTGTGAAGAAATAACCTTAAGATGTACCTCTATTTATAGTAGAGAAAAATGATGAGCAGATATTAGTTTTTTTCACCAATCATGCCATCTTACGATTTAAGTTTAAGCCCACAATTAAACAAACGCCGTCTTCCAGTACACAATGTTAACACGCATGTATCTCACGATAGAAGATAAGATGTTGACAAATACGTAAACAGTGTGCTGATCGGTGCATGGTTTAACTGCTAAATTGCTCATTTGGAGTTCGATTCGGTGGCTATATTGACTGTTCACATAGCCGGCTTATTTGACTTGGTCAAGAAGTTATATGTCTTCACCAAGACCACATCGCATTTAGTTTGGTTACACAAGTGGCAGTGATTTGTCACGACCACATCACATTCAATTTGAACATGGATATTTTTCAAGTTATTAATTTTTATTTTTTTTATAGCTAGCAAATAAACTTTTTTCATGTGATTAACTTATCTACGATTATTATCAAACTAAAATTCAAACGTATGGTTAATCTAGATAGAGGGTGCCGATAAACACATTCCGATATTTTGTGATAAAAACTTCAAAATTCAAATTAGTATTATTTTGTATGTCCATTCTCAAACCAAACTTAGATTTTTTTGTTTTGCCAAAGAATAAAAAAGAGTGCAAAGAGATTATTCATCCTAGTATTATTCTCGTCCAAACACGCTTAACTGTGGAATTTTGATAGGATCTGGTGCATTAATGTTGGTATGATCGCATCCTAACCAAACTTAGATTTAATAGGACCACCTAGAAGAGAAATCCGATTTTTAAAGGAAAAAAACGAATTGAAAGAAAAATTCTTTTCTACTTCATCGCCTTCTTTATTTGCCTTATCTGCAAGCTTTGATAATAATAGCCACGTACGAAACAGCTTGCTTCGTTGCCCTACTAAGAGAGCCCCAGCAAGATCAACACAGACAAGTAGCAAACTCAGAAGAAGCCACACACAAACTAAAATGGTTAACTATAATTAAACCATGAATGACCAGAACCGGTTTTGTGGATATGCTACCTACGAACTTAGGTGCTAAAAAAAGATAAAAGGAAAATTCACATGGTTTGGGTCTAAAAGCCATGGTTTCTCCTCTTGATGCTTTTTTTACGAAAATATGATTTGAGCCTTTAGATACATGAGAATAACCCCAAACATGATATAAACTGATAGGCACTAAAAACACCTTAAACCACATGCACTCAACATTTACATGAAAAACAATCAAATGCTAAAAACACATGCCACAAAATGGCTAGGAATACATCGCTCCGTGTGCTAGTGTGCCTACACTTGATCTCTAAAAACTATAAATATATGATAGATTCAATACGGGTCGAGTTTGAAGAAAATAGTCAAGTGCCATTGATATTACTATACTGATCCGATCTCCTTCAATAACCTCTCAATAAACTTAGTTCATTTTTCTATCCTATATTCATATGGGAGATTAATCAAACGCTGGGAAATCGGTCAACGGATATTTTTGCATAATCTTCATCTTCATTTGCCTTTTTCTCCTCTTTTTTTTTTCATTTGCATCTTTGCATCCAAATATTTCATTTTGTCTGTACGTATCTTTCAACGTACAAACATATTACTATCGTTTTTGTATATCATTTTTCTAATATTTGTAGTTTTGCATCAAATAGTAAAGTTTTAATAGAACATATTTAATAGACCCGGGGAGAGAATAGAACAATATACAACTTTTTTTGTTGTCAACTAATCAAATCAATTCAGGTATAGAGAAAGAAACGCTCATGAAGCGATTACGACATGTAGTCCCATGTCTTCTTTTTTAAAACACCGTAGTTCCTATATACTCTGCAAAGTAGAGGGTAACCTAGCTGAAAGGTGTAAGAGCACCCCATCAAGGGTTTAGATGGGGGGTTCACACGGTTTTCAAAAAAAAAAAAAATATTAAAATAAGGAATAGTGATGAACCTGCCTCTTGCAGACTCTCTGCGGTGAATCCGGTTCATCACTGTAGCGCGGGTCCCGGGACACGTGGCGACTCACGGTTGGTCTTTTTTTTTTTTTTTTTTTTTTTAAAAAAAATAAAAAAAAAATCAAATTTTTTTAATAATAAACAATTGAATCAATGAACCCCAAGAGGGGGTTCATTGATGTGGATGCTCTTGCTTCCTACCAGTGACTCGCAGTAGAGTAGGAGTACATAGCTACATATTTGATAAGAGACTAAACTCCAAACCGTAGATGTACATATTTGATGCCCAAGACAAATGTTTGATTTTCAACATACCAACAGTTTTATAATATTATTAAAAACAAACCAACATAAACATATTTGCTACATGTCACGAGGTCACTCATAGAATGAGTGACACAGACTTATTTAATGCAAATAGTTAAGCACGCAAGAAACAGTAAATAAGAATACAAAGCACCACCAACTATATTGGTAGATTAACATGGGAAATAGCAGATACACTTGTGAGCAGGGAAGACATAGTTGCAAGATCCATGGCGTGCTCCCTCAAGGTTAATGCACTGATTCTTGCAGGAGTTGCTGTTTCCACAAACTCCTGACCATGTCCCACTTGGCCTCTCGCACAACTTCTGCGCTTCCACCATTGTTGGTCCTTCTGCAAATATATATATATCATGCTACGTTATTAAAAATCAAAAATGGAAAATTTAAGACTCATTCATTCGTCGAAGAAGGTCTTTACTCACCAAAAGCAGCAAAAAGGACAAGAGCAGCAAAGAGAAGGGTGATGATGGAAGCAAACTTAGCCATGATGTACTCTTTTACTGTTATTTTCTAATGTATGTATGTGTTGTGTGTGAGGAATCAAGTCTAAGATGAACCCCTATTTATAGTAATACGATGGAACTGGTTTAGTTTGAATTTTCATCCTACAATAAAAGTTTAACCCCACAAATGAAACACATACTGTCAGCTAGGTCAGTGGAGACATTTATTAAATCGCAAGTGGCTAACAATAATAGATAAGATGTTGATTGGTCAATAGTTGATGGCTGTTTTCTCCACCACATATATCTACATTGGATGCATCTATCTAAATATCTAATACAAGTTAAGGGCTAAGCGAGTGATTTGGCTTTGGGCCAATGCTAATTGTTCACATGGTGGGCTGATTAGTTTGTGTCAGGTCGAGATTCAGGAAGATAAGAGCACCTCATAATAGAAGTTCTCAAAAAAAAATTCTATTTATGTATCATTTTGATATAATGTCCTTATATAATAAATTTTGATTATTTTCGGAAATATTGTGAGGTTCTCATAAATTTTATCTGAATTCTCTTTTAAATTTTCTTTCTATTTCATTTCTTTATTTTTGTATTAATAAAATTCTTGATGATATCTTCTTATCAATGGAGATGTTCTAAGTTCATGACCAAGTTAAAGTTACACAATTTGTTGTGTTCAGAGATTTTGGACATTTGTTGCATCTTATATATTAAAACAGAAGTCATGACTTGATTTCATGTGTGATTTTTTTAAAAATTGACTATTACTAGAAAATCATGTTACATTAACTCTCTAATAATCTTATCATTATTATATCTTATGAAAAATCATATCTATAATAACAAAGATACGCTTAACAATTTGATTTTGGTAAATTACCCCACACCTTCCAATTTAATCACGCAAAATATGTCAATAGATATAAGTTTAGAAATCTTCTATTATTTATAAGGAAATATGTCAATAATAGTTAAATGCATCCATAATATATTAACAAAAATCACAGATTTATAATATGGAATATTTATATACCCTAACAAAATTTACACGCTATATATACTAGATAAATTTATTTCGACGTTAATTTTTAAAATTATATTGCTTTAAAAAAATTATTTTTTAATAAAATTCTTTATAATGCCAATTTATGAAGCTATAAGTTTAGTTTTTAGCAAAAAAAAAATCGAAATTTATATTATCTTTACAAATTAAAGTATACTAATATTTAGTCAAGCTCTATTTATATTACTTTATCTAAAAATGAAATATCAATCTAACAAACAATAAAATATAAAAGAAGAAACAAATACATGTTTGAAAAACATGTATAATATAAAAAAAATTGAAACAATCTATTTGATTAAAGCACATATTATATAATATTAATATGTCTGAAAAATATTTACTATACATATCGTAAATATGTGATTACTATAATATATATCAATTTTACAAGTGAAAGCAAAATGTTTATATAACTAACTATAAACGAAAATAAACACCCGCACGATTGCGCGGGTCAAAATCTAGTTAGCGTTAAGGTGGAAGAAGATCAAAAGAAACTATTATTGACATTTGCTTGAGTTGCAAGAAAAAAACGAACTTCCATCTGTATTGGTTTTATCACTGGTCTATAAGTCTATAACTTATTTGATAAACTTTATTAGAAGAAATAATGTTATAAGTTGTTGTTTTGAGTTGTCAACGACATATATGTGTATAATGTGTATGTCGTTGACAACTCCATACTCAGAAACCGGTTTAGTACAACGGACAGAGTATTAAAACAAAAACTTGTCGTTTCTCAAAAACTTTGATCGGAAGAACATATATGATCAATGCGTTCCAGCAACACATTCTTTAGTGAACACGAAGATACGTTGCGCATAAAATTTTGTTTAAAAAACTTTTGTTTGGTAAACACACACATAAAATATAACATACCTCCTAGCCCAGCAAGATCATTACAAGTAACCGGACACCTCCTTAAACTGCCGCTTAACCGCACATTTTGTCCCTTTCTCAGTCTCTTGGTGCTGCAATTTTCACCCTCCGCCTCGGAAACAAACTCACGTATGTCATCTCCTCCTACCCCATTGTTTCTTATCTCCATTGTTGACGAATGCTTCGCCAAAAACTACTATGATCGATCGTTTGCTTTTCTCTCCAAGAAACTCAACCTGATTATTACACGGATGTTGTCATCAAGGGGATCATAGTCGTAAGTGTTTATCAATTAAACAAAACTATAAAAAAAAAACTAGGTCATAAAAGTTTATTATAATTTGTTTAAAATTTGATGATTTTGATTGAATAGGTTATGATACTTGTGGGGACTGATACGTTAACTGGAACCCTAGAATGGGCGATATCGAATTTGCTAAACCATCCAGAGATATTGGGGATGATTGGTTGGGCTTTAACTACTGACTTTAGCTTTATTTTCTATCTACAACCATATAAATCACCAATCATACTTTAAATAGTTTATAAAGCTAAAGTCAAAAAATTAAAAAAATGATTGTAGGAGCTTCATTTTCTAAATCAAAAAAATACTGCTGTAGGATTGTTGTAGGAATATATTTCTTTTTTATTTTTTCTAATTTAATTTCTGCAGCTACATTAGATACAGCTACATCCAAAATTTCTACGGACTAATTTCTACAGTAAAATTTCTACAGTTACAGTCCAACCAATCGCCCCCATTGAGAAAAGCAAGAACCAAAATCGATGGCAAAATTGGTTTAGACCGGTTAATTGACGAATCTGATATTAAAAATCTTCCTTATCTCCAAAACATCGTATCGGTCTATCGGAGACTCTATGCGCATACCCCGTAGCTCCGACTCTTCTACCCCATGATTGCATGGTAGAAGGATACGATGTTTCACGTTGGACACTGTTGTTGGTGAACGTACGGGCCATGCCATGCATAGAGATCCATATGTATGGGAAGAGCCAGAACAATTCAAACCAGAAAGTTTTGAGAAAAAAAAATGAGCGGATCCAAAGTTGATAACGTTTGGGATCGGACGAAGAGCTTGTCCAGGGTCTGGTTTAGCTCATCGGTTAGTGTTTCGAGTGGGAGAGAGTTGGAAAGTAATATGTTGACATGTAAGAAGGAAACATGATGCACATAGCGAGACCATGAGTTAAAGCTCGTCCCCTTGTCCAGAACATTCTCAACGATTCCATTTGAGTTTGAATCTATAATGTTTTCATTCTTATTCGAAACTTTATATGCATCCTCAACATACATCATCCTTTCCTGGGCACTTTTTGTTATTTATTATTATTTTTGGATAATGATGTTCTCAATCTTTATGTCCAATTGTGGGCGTGGTGCAGACAAATAAATAGACTAGTACGTAGTACATAAAACTTCATAGTATCACAGAAAACATACATAAACATACTTGGTACATGTCTTAAGGTCATTCACAGAGTGACACAGACTTATTGAATGTAAATAAACACACAAGCACAACAGAGTTTTGGTAGACCATATGAGTTTTAGTAGGTCAAATGAGTTTTGGTATAAGATTAACATGGGAAGTAGCAGATACACCTGTGATATGGGAAAACATAGTTGCAAGATCCGTGACGTGCTCCTTCAAGGTTGATGCACTGGTTCTTGCAACTTTTACTATTTCCACATAATCCGTACCATGTCTCACTAGGCTTCTGGCATAACTTCTGCGCGTCCACCATTGTTGGTGCTTCTGTATATATGTATTTATCATGGTTAAATCAAATAATCTGAAAATAAAAATTTTAAAAATAATTTCGCTATGCATATGATAAGATCACTACTCACCAAAAGCAGCAAAGAGAACGAGAGCAGCGAAGAGAAGGGTAATAATGATGGAAACAAACTTAGTCATGACTATTAGTAATTTGTTTTCGATGTTTTGTGTGAAGTGGGAAGAAATAAGCGTAAGAGCGACCCCTATTTATACTGAAATGCTAGTAGGTTAGTCTTTACTGTTCATCGTACAATAACGTGGTAACCCAGCAAATTAAACATACATTGTCTTCTAGTGACGATATATTCAGATTTAATAGCTGGTTTCTCCACCACATATATTTTACCTATGTAAGACTCTCTCTATAAGCCTCTATCTAGTGTAACCCAACCGGCTGCTTTGGCTTTGAGCTAATGCTACATCGTGTTCGAGTACATGGGCGGGTGCTGGTTAAATTTACTTTGTGAAGACTCAAGAAATTAAAGATCTTGACCAAGTCATAGTTTCACAATTTTAGCCTAATTTTAGTAATTAGTCAGAGATTTCAAAGTTCGTTGGATGAGGGTGTAGAACTAGAATAGGAAACTATGAAATAGATGTTAATTAATTAACCATTCTTCATTGTTAAATCAATAAAAATGCAATGACGAATCTGTCATCGTGTTATTAATTCGCAAGTACTACGTTAGTAATAGTTTATGGCTGATTTCTCCACCGCCTCTCTATGCCTATGGAAGGTTAACTGCTCTATCTAATGTAACCTAAGGGACTGGTTTGGCATAGCTAGTATTAATTTGACTTTAGGACTCGAGAAGATAAGATCTTCACGGGGCCGGATCTTGTTCTGAGGTTGATGAATTGGTATTGGGTTTCCTGATTAGGGAAATGAAAATGGGTAATACGATTCCAGTTGATGGTACCAGAACAAATATATCAATGCTCATTTTCGAATGGTAATACCAAAAATCCCACTGAATACACCACATTGTTTCTTATATTTCTATTTAGAGTTGACTTAGCTAGGTAAGCAACGTTCTTATCAAATCGGAGATGTTGGTGGTTACGAACCTCTCGTTATTATAGACTTCATGCTCTAATGCTCTTTATGGTTCGTGGTTCTCAACTTCTCATGGGGAAGTTATCATTTATGCCCAATATTGTTTTATGGTTGTGTAGACGACGAGTAGGTAATAAATTAACCGTGGGGACGTGCTGGTATATGTTTATTTGTTAAGGTAATATTTAGAATATAAAATAAGTTATAAGAATACATGTTAATATCGACTCTTTGTATATAGTATTATTTTGATAATTTTATATTTGGTGAAATTTGTTTTTGATGAAATTGTACTAAATAATATATTAGTCACTTGATTTTTGTCTGTTTATTTAAAATTTTGTTTAGATTGTATATTGCTTTTTTGTTAGAAAACTATCATATATGAGTAGATTTAGGTTAATTTTTTAAATTACTAATTAATGATCTAAGAGCAGCATTAAGAATATCCCCAATAGAGGGTTCTAGTTCTAGGATTCTCAAAATACATATATATATATATATATATATAATAATTTTTTTATAAATTAATAATGTTAGAACTTTGAATTATTATTATTTTTTAGAGATATTAATTTATAGATATGTAGTGAAGTTTAACAAATCCATTTAGAAGATGACATATCGACAATTTTAGAAGAGGAGTCCGCTTGTGAAAATGATATTCATGAACTAGAGCTTGTGATTAATAATCTTGGATATCGCAGTAGAATGGATGTTAACAACCTACTCAATTAT